AACAATGCTATGCATCAGCATCTGTATGATACTGTAAGATGGAAAAACTATAACTCTAGAAGGATCTGGGGCTAGGCCCTGGAGCACAGAAGCACAACAGCACCAAAGAGTTTAAATACATGATGTCGCAATGTATGCCCAACTGGATTTACCATACCTCCATCAGCCTGAAGAACTTGGACAAAAATATCAATCTGCAGACCACATACATGGTTTCAGAAAAATATAATAAAATGACACCTTCTCATTTAGAAATACGCATTATGAGTTGTAGAACCTGAGAACGTGGCATTAGATGTGTCAATATGCAAGCTTCCATAGTTTGCCGAATAACCAGTGATATCTCCGTGGATCTCCTGCATGCCAAGCAACACAAATTATAAAAACAACAGTTCATTGTCATTCTTGGTTAATTAGAAATAGCAAGTGTCATAATATATTTTTTCTCATTCCAATGTCTGTAACAATTCTCCATTCGTGAAGCATACAAAACTTTACAGCTTGCTATCCAAAATGCTCTCAGGGTTTCTCAAATTCCAACTTTTAGTACAATACAGAGCTCACTAACGTGTCATCCAAGAACTCACAGTTTTTGGGTGTTGTTCCTTTCTTCAGAAATGAAAGAGTCAATAGAACACATTACATGGTTTGACAAAAGCACATATCTTGATGAAAATATAGAAGGCGGTACATATATGAGACTAACTCAAATTTTGTACAATAAAACCAAATACAAAAAGTTACAAAACGGATAAAACTGGGGGGTTTGGACAAATTGCAAAAAACTGAAAAACATTACCTATCATGCTTTGGTTTCCTCATGCGATCACCAGTGCTGAAATTAGCCATGCTATACTCACAGCGCACCTAAACAAAAAGACTAGAATATAAAATTTTGAGAAAAACCATGCATGTCTTACCAATTAAGAAGTGATGATGGAAGATAATTTACCACTGCTTGATCATTTATTTGTTGGCTTTTATTTTGGACCTACAAAACAAGAAGCAGAATTTGAATTGTGTAGAAAAATTCTATCTTCCCAAGGGGAAAAAAAAAGAGTAATGCTGCTTAACATCACAAACAGCTTTCTTTGCACATGAATTAGTTTAATGTGTCAAACCAGAACCTCAAAATGGAGATTAGAGATACTCAGACTACTGTCAGGAAGTTAAAAAAAAGAAGGCGTATACTCTTAAAACTTGAGGCACGAGGCAGGCAAAGAAACTTCTGCATGAACTACCACAAGGGGTTATGACTGTGAGACTCTTAAGCTCGTTGTTCGCTCAAGTAAAGATCAGGTTGCATGGATTCTAAAAAGACTTTCTGAAATACGTGCCTACATACGAAAAACTAAACTCCGATATTAGGTTGTTATAATCATAGTTTCATACATGTATCAGCAAATTTGAATGTTCAACAAAAACTCATAATTAGTATATGCACTCAAGGTTATATGCCTTGAAGAAGAGAAATCAGATCAGCATACTCATAGTGTCATACATGTATCAGCATACTTGAAGTGGAGAAATCAGATCAGTAATTGCATTGCACATCTTGAATGTTCAAAAAAAACTCTCTATTGTAAAGCTGCAACCACAGTAACTCTAGCAATTTACTTTATCAGAAACCAAAACACAACTCCAACAAAACAAACCTCGGAAATAAGCAGTAGTTAGTATATGCAGTCAAGGATATATGCCTCTACAGTAACTTCACATAACTTTTTAGACAACTTCTAAAGCCCATTTGTAGTGAAATAATTACAGACCAGCCACAAACTTAATTAAAAAAAAAAGCACACATAAAACTAAAATTAGGGGAAAAATTACGGGGTTGAAGAGGGCAATATATACCTCTCTGGGACCGTATATAGCAGCAATAACTTTAGTATTTCCCATCTCAAAAACAGCAGAGCTGCAAGCACAGCAAGTATTAGACAAAACCAACTTTCTTTTGGGTCCAAAAAAGTCCTAAAAAATGCTTGATTGAGAGGGACTTTAGCCATTGTTCCATATGCAAACTTCAAATAATAGTCTCTACACAAACTCATAGGCTAAGGCACTGATGGTCCGGAAAAAAGCAGAGCTGCATCGATTTATAGAACTAATCAGATGAAACCCACCAGTTTTCCAGGCCAAAAAAGTTGTAAAAAAAACAATCTTTCTTTAGAACAACCATTGGCGTTTTCCATGTATTACACCCCACGTCTCATCTACACATATTCACACACTCTTTCCCGCTGAGAGCAAAAAACATAAAGAAATAAACTTTTTGAGTACCCATCAGCTCTGGCAACCACCCCTATTTCCGCACGCAGCTGCCTCATCTGATATTGGAACAAAACGCAATCGAATTAAATAGCAAATTAACAAAGAGAAGCCTTGGAATGAAAATACGAAGGGCCTTGGGAAGCCAAGAAAAGAAAAGGGAGAAAAGAAGTGGGAAGAACCGAAACCTCTAATGGACGGCGACCATCTAAGCGAAGACCTTCGGGGTTCACGTACTCCATCTCCGATGCCCGTTGCCCGTTAATTAAACTTCCAAAGAAGTGGAGGGAAGGGAAAGGGATTCACTCTGTAAATTTTACTAAAATACACGTACTGACTCTTTCTTTTGTGAGATGTATTTTAGGGGTCATGTTACGAGTTAAAAATGGGCCTTGAAAATTTCGGTGATAAGACCAGCCCAAAATCTGTTGCTCCAGCCCGGCTCACTACCTCTTTCTAGCAATCCAAATTTCAAAGGGTACAGTATGATCCATCTCAAATCTATCCCCTTCCAGATACTATACCTCTTTAGAGTTTAAATGATGCATTTTTTTTTTTAAGTGAAAAGTTTTGACGTTAGGACTTTTACTTGCAATCCTCTCTACTTTATTACTTAATCCATTCCAACTCTTCCAAAAAAACGGTGCTTGTATACGGTATTGAAGGCATAAAAGCTACAATTGTTTTTTTTTTTTCTCTGGGTATTTTTGCCATTGCCAATTGAACTACGCATAGTCAAGTTTTTTTTAATAATCCGAGTATTGCTCCCTTTTTATTGTTTCATGAAAATTCTCTCTCTCCTTTTTCCTTGTTTAGCAGCTCATTATCTGGGTTAAAACCTCTTCGTCTTTTGTGGCTGTTTAATTAGTAAGCCCCTTCAATTGTGGTGGCTAGCTGATGCCAGTTCCTTTTATAAATCCCGTGAAAAGAGTCTTTAGTACATAGCGACATTGCCTTGCCTTTCTACTACTTACAAGGCTTTAAAGCTTGCTACTGCACGTGACTTGTCATTTTAACTGATTTTCTCTAAATTTATATGAATGCACAGTGCATTCAGTTGGTTCGATGGTGGTTCAGTGACCGTCAATTTTTTAATAGGCCCCTCTCCTTTAAAATAGATTAGAGTAGAAGTAGGTGTAGAGTAGATAAGTGACAACTGAAAAAAAAAAAAAATACTTAGAAGTTATCAAATCCAAATGTTTAACCAGCTTAACGGTTTGTGTGGCCGAGTCAAAAGAGTGGTAAAAACTCCTTTCGAAGCAGATCAATAACTCTTTTGAGAAATTTTGGATTACATGAATTGTGTCTTGTATCCAACATTCCCAAATATTAAAGCAACCCGTGCTCCACTTAGAGGTTCGACTGATTCACGGACTGGATGAGATGGAATGACTCATCGTTAGATTGTTAATTTTAGGATGAGTCGTCCTAAAATTAATAATCCTGGTTATCTAGTATTTTATTGGTTTTAGGTTGGATAGGTTCTAGGTTGAAGTTCAATTAAATAGTGAACCAACTTTTGGCCACGTTAAAGTTATATTGAATAAAATTCAATCTATTTAAGAGTTTTAGAGGAGCTAAACTCAAATACTACTCAAATACTGAAGCAACCAGCCAGTGCTCCACTAAGGACTAAGGAGTAAATCTAAGTTGAAATCCCCTGGCAAATGGTCAGCAAATTAGAACCGCGCGTGAATCCGCAGTTAAATTTCTGCCACTAATCACAATTCACAACACCCCTTGCTGTCCTCCTCCCCAAGTCTTTTAAACAAACACCCCTCCAAAATTAACCATTCCCTCCGCCACCACACCACCTTCGCCAATCCCCTCCTCCCCTCCCCTTTCTCCATTTTTCCTCCTCCCCCCTTCCCCAGCTTCCCTTTCCTTCCTAAACCACCACCTTCACCTTCACCATCACCTCATACTAATTTCTTATCCATCTCATTTTTATCATTCACTACCTAAGCATTTACCTCAGAAATCTTTAATTGATCCATCGGGCTCATAATTTGGTAATCAACCAAATTTTGAGACAACCTTGATACATCCTCCAAGGTACATACCCAACATACTCACTAATTATATGCATCATCTTAGCAATGTTAAGATTCCTGTTCATCCAATCTTGCATGCATAACGTCAGGCACCGATCATTCTTGACGAAAATCCGCCTAAAACCTCAATTTCTCCAATCTTAGAAACGTACTACCTTTGGGAGAGAGAGAGAGCCAGGAGGCTGGGGGTTCTTGATTTGAATACCAGCCCTCTTCTTTTTCATTGCTATCCTTCATATGTGTTGCAATTGTTTTCATGGATTGCCATTGTTTGACGTGCCGATGAAACATTTAATAGAAGTTTCCTTTGCATACTGGTATATTTGCAGGAATGACTCAAGCACCACCTCTGGCAAAACCACCTGGATACAGAGAGCCAGGCCTCCCAGTTCAGAAGCCACCAGAACCCTTGGGAAAAGGAAACCTTCCACCTTCATTTTACACAGAGGAGGAGAAGCGCAGGGGTTGTTGTTGCAGATGCTGCTGCTGCCTCTTCATCTTCATTATCCTCCTCACTCTCTTCTTCATCTCATTTGGGGGATTTCTCTACCTTTGGTACGAGCCCAGAGCCCCCCTTTTCTCCCTGAAATCTTTCCAGGTCAACGAATTCAACATCACCAGCACCGCTGATGGGCCAACACTCCATTCAAAAATGTCTGCCAGCTTAGAGTTCAAGAACGCAAATAAGAACATCAAGATGGTGTATGACAGGATAGCCCTGTCCTGGTACAGTGATGACATTGCTTCAGGGGAGCTTGGTCAAGACACAGTGCCAGGGTTCGTTCAAGAGCCAAATAATGTGAGGGTTGCCAAGTTTTCCATGAAGGGGAATCTGCCTCTGGATGGTTCAAGTGTGAAGAAGGTTACGGATAGAATCAGGGCCAAGAGCTTAATGACTCATGTGGAGGTCAGAACTGGGATTGGGATGGTTTTAAGCGGACTGAAAATTGGCACCGTTGAGGTCAAACTAGCATGCGAAGCCTCCAGTTTGAAGCACATTCAGGAAGGTGCCATGCCCAAATGCAAGGCTTTTGTATTCCGCCTGTAAGTACAAGCTTCCCAAAGTTCTCACAGTTTTTGCGGTCTTGATCAAGGTAGATTTGTTTCATACTACAAGTACAAGGCATTTAAGAACTGACATAGCATCGTAACAAACCAAACAAAACTCTTGACTTCTGTGGAAAATTTGAGTCCTAATAACACGAATTCAAAGGCCTTTAAAATGTGTAATTGATGGATGTTTGTGAACTTTCGACCACAATTTAGAGCAAAGAAGCCACGGGAGTGTGCACGTCTTGCGTTACTCGGGAGGATGCACCTTTCATGGTCCATTTTCCCTGCGAAATATACTGGTTGATGTGATGTCCTTACCATTTAATTTGGGTACTTTAAGAGAATGATTGTCACAGGTTAATAATACCTACAGTCATCCACTAATCATTCTGGTTGAGGCACACACTGCTAGCAAAGTCAAAATAGATGATTTGTAGACTTCTTTTTTCTTTTAAATATTAGTACTAACAAGGATTAGTCCAAATTTGTTTTGCTTCTTGACAGGATTAATATACACTAACTTGAACTTGATCATGGACCTCATCATGTGATCTCAAGATGCCGGAAATTTGTCGAAAGCCAAGTTTACTTACTGACGATGGCCACACCCTTATTGCCAATCTTCACATACAGCCTGGTGTTATGGTTGAAGCACAGTGCATTGCATTGATCCTATGCTTCTCACACTTGAACCCATATGTTACTACTACTAGTTATTACAAGTACCTAGCTTTGCTTAGCATGGGCCGGGTATCACCCTTGGAAATTATCCAGTGTTGGCTTCTTAATTAAATAGTGATATTCCATAGGCTTTAGTGTTCACCTCTGCTGTATGGAAAATCATATTAAGTACTTCTTATAACTACTGCAGACTGATCATTTGGCTGTTTGGCATTGGTCTAGTGAAGAAACTACCTACGTATAGTAAATTATTTGTTATTGGGTTCCTTAGATTTTGGACAAGAGACTGCAGATTGTTATCACTTCTTTTCTCCCTCTGAAGGAAGGAAAAGGGCATTAGGTTGAGATATGACGATGAGCAGGGTGAGCTAAACTGAAAAACCAACTTTCCAGCTTATGATAGTTGTTACTACTTCTTCCTCAGCTGACATCCATGGAGAAGGACTCTTTAAGATGAAGAAGGAAATTGCTACCTCGTCAAGCTACGTATGTGCTGTATTACCCGCTTCCTTAATTTTTATGAAATAATAAATGATCTGGAGACCTCTGCTGGCGACATTGATCATCATGCTTTGTACCGAATGCCACAAACCCTTGGATGGATTTGTGTTCTTGAGAATCAACCGACTTCTGCCAAACGCCAAATTAAGACCTACAAGAGATTACTTCTTATGCACTCCGGTCATAGCTTTATTTGCTATACTTTTGCTAGTAGGGGTATTGAGAAATTGAGATCCTCTCTATGGTGCACTGGTTTTTGAAGACGGCGTCGGCGTCGGTGTCGGTGCGGGCTGGATTTTCAATCCCATTCATGCTTCTGAATCGAAATTTTAATAATCTTTGGCATAAAAAATGTTAAGAACTTAGAAAATGAAGAATTTCTTAAGAAATTCACTTATAAAAAGCGACTCTAAGAATACGATATAACTAAATAATAGATAAAAATAAAGGAAGTCCTGGAGGAAAAATGCTAGTTTCAATGCTTAAGCTTTGGGCCATCAACACATTTTGTTTTCAAACTTTTCTGGCACAACACATGTAATATTTGAACTATCAATTTTTGACTAATTTCATCCTCAAACGGGAAATTAACCAATTCGCGCGAAGTTGGGAAGAAAGGTATTAGAGCTGGGAAAGTAAAGATAGCCATTTTTATTTTGTTGATTTTAAATCGTGCAAGCTTTTTACGTAACAGGTTCATCCCATTACATGCACAATTTGGATTCAAATTGATTAATATTTCATTTGAGAATGAACTCGATCAAAATTTAATACTTCGAATGCTAAATGCGTTGGTTGCGTCAAAAAGTTTGATAACGAAACTATCCATGGTCCAAAGTTTTGGAATTGATTTTCCCATGTCCTAACCATCACTACATGCAGTGCCAGCAGTGAAGCACCACCGTATTGACTTTAACACTCCATAGCAGTGATTGTAGTGCTAGAAATTTGAACCCCAACAAAAAAAAGATTGGAATGCTCGAAAGATGGACTATGCTATTTTAGCTAGTGCTACCAAAAAAAAAAAAAAAGCGCTCGTGGATTGCAACAGTTTTTTATGAGAGCCGTACTTTTCTTAAACATTCGTTCACTTTAGTCTTGTTAATGTGACCTTTTGTTCATTTCAGAAACGCCTCGATATATTTCGCCGGTGACAAATGGAAGAATTAGAGGTGAAAATTTGAGTGTTATATGGATGGAGAGATATAAACATCGCGGGTGTAATTGCTATTTGGATAAAATACAAAAAAAAAAATCCCCTGTGATAAACCTAATACACAGAAAAGTCCCATATAGTTTCAAAATATACAACACGACACCTCGTACTTTGAACTAAATTAAAAAAGTGACGGGATCCGTTAAATTTAACGGAAATGACTCATTGGAACCTAAAAAAAATTTTTATACATAATTTTTAACAAATATACCTATTTTACCCCCTCACCCTCACCCTCAATTCTCTCTATCTAAAGAATAAAATAAATGATTTTTTTGAACTGTCTTTTACTTAATTATATCAGGGCATTTTTGTCATTTCCTCCATTTCCGTTAAGTTTAACGGATTCCGTCACCTTTACAATTTAGTTCAAAGTACGGGATGGCGTGTTGTATATTTTAAAACCACGAGGAATTTTTCTGTATGTTAGATTTATCACAGGTGACTTTTTTGTTTGTTACCCTTGCTATTTGGACATATATACATACATAGAGTGTCTGACTACCAAAAATTCTTTTCAAGAAGATCGTATAAGGAAGAAAATATTGGGGTCCAAATACAAATAAGAATAGTTTTCATAAATTGCTCTTACACCAGACCATTTGGAAATGTGTTGATAGAAGAAGAAATGAGCGCTAGGTAACAGAAGAGAGAGAGAGGGGAAAAGAAAAAGGAAAGAGAAAAGGGATTGGGGGGTTGGAATTTGGAAATACACATAACGGGTGTGAATCCGAAATCCCGGGTGGGTCGGGGCCCCACGGCACAAAGGAATCCCATCCCACCAGTCAGAGCTGCCCAGCTGGATCCGAATTCGCTCCCACGTCGTATCAAATAAAGCTCAACCATCAGTTTTTCCTTCATCTGAGAAAACAAAAGAGAATAACAAAATAAAATTCAAAATAAGAAAGTCAGAAGTCTGCTGGCACTAATATTCACAACCTTGAGAGTCAAAATCGGCAGCTTGGACAAGGTACGAGTAATTTATCTCTGCACTCATATCCCATCTCCAAATCACAATCACAGTCAGGTTTGTTAAAGCTCAGAGTTGTAAAGAACCCATGTTATAGTAGTATATTTGTTTGTTTGTTTGTGGGTGTTTGGATTTGTTATATTTTGCAACTTCTCTGCTTTTGTTTTCCGCTTTTTATGCATCTGTCAGATCTGCAGGACTGGTGGGTGGGGTTGAATCCGTAGGATGGCTTCAAAAAGAATCTTGAAAGAGCTGAAGGATCTCCAGAAAGATCCTCCTACGTCTTGTAGCGCCGGTATCACTATCACCCCTTTTTGATCTTTCTATATCTGTAGTCTAGATGTGTTGTGGCAGGATGTGTTGGTACGTTACAAGTTTCCACTTCATTGCATGTTTTGTATGTCTGATATTTGGGTCGACTTGCTTTTGTTGTTTGACATTGTGGTATGTGAAGGAAATTCTGTGCTTCTTGTCTGTTAGTTTTGTGTAAAAATGGGATCTTTTATGTGTTTCCCTTTTTCTCCCGAAGGAATAGCAATTTGAATTTGACGCTGAATCTAATTGCAGATGAACATACATGAACTACATGTATGGATCAGGTTGTAAACTTTGAGGCTTTTGGATTTCGTGTGTGGTTTTTAGTCTTTGCATGAAGTTGTTGTTACCGGGGAAGATGGAGGTCAATTATTTGTTGGACATATTGGTTTTACGAATGGAAACTTAAATGGAGTGGTAGAAAATAAAGTCGATGAACAGTAAGTGTTCTAGTTTTTGCTTGTACTGCTAAATCTTTTGCTTTATGGTTTTTTAGATTGTTTTCGCGAGAGCACATGTTCATTACCCTATTCATGATTAAAATGCGTAGGATGACCTTTTATGACCTGTCTTCAAAACTATTCTAGAACAAATTGTCTTTAGATGCCAAAACTATGCCAATAGCGGGGCAAACTTGTGCTATGTGGATGCTCTTGGTATAAGCTGGTTACTTTGTGGTAGCATTGAAATCTTGTTAAAAATTGTTCTCGAAATGTGCAAATGTTGCATGTTGAAATCTTGCTCAAAATTGTTCTTCAATTTTGTACTTCCCTCCATCTTTTCACATTATTAGAACAAAAGGTGTTAAAACCCACAAACCAACAGTAAGGCATACTTACAAGGACTGCACTTGCTTAATCACTATCGATTGAAGTGGTTGTGATGTTTGCAAATTAGCAAGATATACAACCAATATGCACTATCATTTTTCAGAGCCAAAAGAACATCACTGCTGGTGATTGATGTAATTGCTTTGACAGCCAATAGATAAACAACTATCCTTTAGGTCTTGATGATGTACAAATATTTTTATATCGTGGATTGTGGCTGGATACTCTAAAACACCTCAGGCAACAGATAAGCACATATAGTTGTTCCTTCTTTCCTTTGCTATGAGCTGCAAGAAGCAAAGTGTTATAACTTTTGTTAAGTAAAAACATAAGTTCTCTCTCTCCCTCCATACCTCCCTTCTTCCTCCTTTCTTGTTGGATGCCCTAGTGTAGAGATTACAAGGTAACATTTGAGGAATACTATGGCTAAGTTGTTTCCATAAATTGATATAACCAGACTTGTTCTTTGTGTGTTTCCATTTGATATTTGGGAACTTACAGGGCCAAGATATGGAACAAGGTCATTGTGTTTGAATATGAGGGTTTGCACTGTTTGTTTGGTTTCTTTTCTCTGTGGTTAATGGGCACTTTAGTGCCATTTTAAGTCACTAAACACATATTAGTTACTGGTTTTCATTGTGGGATGTGAAAGCATCTGGTTCTGTGTACTTTTGATAGTGCAAGGAGCAATATAACTTCAAAATTTTTCATTGAGTAGACATATTGGTATTTTATGTGATGAGTCGGTAATTTTAGAAATCTGTGTTCAGGTAATCCGAAAGTATATCTGTAAGACATAATCATATAGGATTGGTTCAATTACATCTTACATGGTTAAAATGAATTTTAAAGTTGATTTTGTCAATGTGATTGATATTACTGATATTTGAAAAGTGGTTTAGTTAGTCTTATGTCATCTTAACCGAAGATTGCTAATCTTCTTGCTTAGTCTGTTACTGTATTTTTTTTTTTCAAAGAAACTTTTAGGCTGTAAGTTAATTCCATTCTTGGTTGACCTATAAAGTGATATTTTATAT